TGGCCATCCAGCCCAACCCCCCTGCAGGGAACAGGGACACCCCTAACCAGATCAGGCTGCTCAGAGCCCCGTCCAACCTGGCCTTGAATGTTTCCAGGGATGGGGCCTCCACCACTTCTCTGGGCAACCCATTCCAGTGTTTCACCACCCTCACTGTAAAGAATTCCTTCCTTATATCCAGTCTAAACCTACCCTGGTTTAGTTTAAAGCCATTACCACTTGTCCTGTCACAGCTGGCCTTGTTAAAAAGATTGTCCCCATCTTTCCTATAGGCCCCCTTTAAGTACTGAAAGGCCGCAATCAGGTCTCCCCGCAGCCTTCTCTTCTCCAGGCTGAACAAGCCCAACTCCCTCAGCCTGTCCTCATAGGAGAGGTGCTGCAGTCTCGGATCATTTTAGTCCTCCTCCGCTTTTATTGCGGCATCTACCACTCTGCATGTGTTATTTAAGAAAACAGAATCCAAAAGTTGTAACTGCCAGTATTCTCAGGATCAGGCCTGAAAAAGGTAGAAGTGATTTAAGTCAGTAATTCTTTACTGATGTCTGAATTTCTTCCTGCAAGTCATTGTAGTATTTCTATTTTTCTATATTTAATATATTACTAATAATGAAGAATGATAGGACGTCCTCGGTAGCTCCACTGGTTCCAGTGACACCACTTTACTTGCACAGCCGTTAGAAGTAAACAGCACGTGCACTTCTATTGAAACGCACCCTGACGTACTGGTCTCGTAACAAGTTTACTTAAACGAAATGGAGACTCAATCAGTTTACATGAAACAGTCACAGTCTCGATGAAATTAAAATAGCTCTTTTTATAAATGTTCTTTATGGAAAAGAGTTTTAAGACCAATGAAAGTATGAGTAAACAAGCTCAGTCTTAATTTTCTTGAGTGTGATATCCCAAGACGTATTTGGAAATTGCTAATTGTTTTACTAAAACTACAGGAACCAATTTGATTCATATAAAAACATAAATGCTTTGTGAAAGAAAGGCAAAAGCCTTTAGAAATCCACCAGAACTACAAGTTCAGATTTGTCTTAACAACAATTGTGTGTGGCAATAAGCTTAAACTAACACTTAAATGAGAACTTTTTTTTTTAAGGAGTTTAAAGATGATGTTCACATTTTATTTTGGGAAAGAAGGGCTTTGGCCTGTTTTTCTAAACTACGAGTTTAAATGTGTATATTCATGAACCCTACAAATAGTTGCTGGACCATTAACCCAGTTGCCACCATTAACCCAGCTAATCATGCAATGCCGAACTTTCGGGAGATCTCCTGCACTGGCACAGCCTCTTGTTAATTAGGCTCTAGGTGGTCAGGGAAGAACAGGAGGTATGTGACTTTGTTACTAACTCTAAATGTCCAAATGTTTTGGGGGTTTTTGTGCTGATATACTGCTTATTGACTATGATTGTGTTATAAAAGTCAACAGTTATTAAAGAAGGCACCTACTTTTTAATAAAAATATTTCAGTATTAGAGCACATCTAAGTGATGGTGGCTTGAAATTTCACTCCAGGCAAGTTAAACTGAATTACACTTGTAGAAAGGAACTAAGTTTTACCCCAAAATAGCCTGTGATCTAACAGAAAGTAGTTGTAAGTTACAGCTCATCCTGCATTTTCCATCACCAGCACCCTCCATCTGTGCATTACTTACGTTGCTATGAATTTGGCAATGCTCTAGCAGCAAGCTACTGTTTATAAGAAGGGATCAGAGGAGCTAAAAGAAACCAGACATTGGGACTATTCGTTACTTGTCTTGTGAGTTGCTCCAGAGAATTTGTTGAAGGACTATGTCAAAATTAGTTTTAGAAAACCAGTAATTTGAGAACTTTGACTGACACATATCAAGTGCTCCCAGATTAGCGTTGGTCAAGTTGGTGGGCTTGGAAGAAAGATTCTTTCTGTTGGTACAGAGTGAAGATTTTCCTCTTTTGTGCAAGGAAACGAGAATAAAAAAGGACAACTTCTTCCTTTCTGCAAGAAGAAATCTGATTAATTGGGAACTGAATCACCAAGGCACCATGAATGCTTCCAGGAGGTAAGCTGCACACACTGCATTCTCCCCAGGTAGGAAAAGGAAAGCAAACTACTGACAGGGAGAATACTCCTCCTGTAGTCTTCACATTACACTGGCAGATGATCATGAACTATGTTATTTGATTTGCAGTTACACAAGACAGAAGGTAGCCCTTGTCCTAATACGAATGTTATATGTGTTTCTAATTCTACTACTTTCTGTAAAACCTCAGCTGCAGAACTTCTGTTTTATTGATGAGTTACCTTTGCAGACTGCACTTCCTAGTCTAAGCATATAATTTGTATTTAAAAGCTCTTTACTCGTAAACTGTATCTGCCGTAACATTTTTGGTAACTCCTACTCTGCTGTGATAGTAGTAGCAGGAACATGTATGAAGCAGAGCTGTAATACATCTAATACTTCTCAGACCTCTTCCTAAGCTACATGAAAATCACAAGCTGATTGATCTCCTTTTGACATTCTGATTCAGATGGAATTGTGGACATTCAACACTTTCTTCTCTTAAAAAAAAAAAGGCAGGAGGCCCACTGGAGTTTAGCAGGCAATTTTCAGTGGAGATAACAGTAAGTGGAGGATAACAATAATATGAAGTTACCATAGGCTAACATTTCTACTTTCAAACTATTTGGGAAAGGTGGCAAAACAACATAAAATGTTACTCCAGAGAATCCTGCAGATACGCTTTATGTAGTTACTCCTGATGGGTATCTTTGGCTAATGAATAGCTTGACACAGGCTGCTGAGGGAAGTGCCCTCTGAAAGGCAGAGACAGAAACACATTCCCAGAGCAGGACAGGAAGCTCACACAGCAAATGCTGTGCTTATTCCCATGGATTAAAGCTTTGGAAACTTGTACATTTTTTTTCAAACCCTGCCACTTTCATAATATTGCAAAATGCAAGAGTGTGTTTTTTCTCATACCACTGATCCATATCAACAGTGAAGAGGAAGAGCACTGTGCATCCTCTGACAAGCCCATGCCCAGTTTCTCTGCCTGTCAGTGGGAGAGAAATACCAAATGGCTGGTACATGTTTTGCATTTCCAATTATGGAAATTACTTTATTAGCCCCATACAGTTTGAAGAGCTCTTTCCCAAATCTAGTCAATGATAACAATGCACACTCTGGACTTTGCTATAAACACTATTGAACTATTTTTAATCTTAAGTCTTGCTTTTCGTTATGGCAGGATACAGTCTCTCCACGCTCGCAGACAGAAAACCAACGGAAACAAAAGCGAGAACCGGCACAGCACCTCTGGGTTCAAGCACCAGCATGGAGATGACCTTGCTACAGCCCACATGCTTTACGCAGTGATTGTCATCATCCTTCTAATGGGAATTTGGGGAGCCTGGTCGAGAAAGGATTCATCCTTATAGCACGAATATGCTTTCTTTGTCAAATATTTAAAGGAATATTTGTGTCAATTATCCATACCCAGGAGGTCTAAAAAATGGTCTTAGCATATTGCAGTTTACTTCAAACTGCTTAAACTGTTGCTACTTGTGGAACTGAATCTGTGAAGCAATTTAATAGGCAATGTACAGAACATGACTTTGTGAATAACATATACCAGTTAGCACTGTACACGTTTATATTACCCTTTGCATGTCTATGAAACTTACTTTAAGCACACTATGACAGCAAGAAGAAGAGTTCAACTTACGTTTTTATTGGTCAGTGTTTTGTACACCCACCCCAGCTTTCCATTTTTGAACTTAAGTTGCCCAATCTCTACCTCTGCTAAGATTATCCATCCCAATCCAGGCTAAAACATACACTATAAGCAGGCAAGTAATCTGCCAAGTCATAACAACATAGGGGAAAAAAAAAATCAATAAAACCAGCTACCCTGCAGGCAAAGGAAGACCTCTGAACAAGTCAAATTCTCATCTCTGTTGCTGAAGAGAGTTTATATGAGACTTGCATCTGCCTATTTTCAACTTACAGTAATGCCTTTGTAAACTCGGGAGTAAAACCATAAATAAACTGTATTTGTAAGCATCCTTTGTTGCAGAACCAACTGGCTCAGTCTTCAATCTTTTACCCATATATTTAATTCATGCTGTTCTATAATTCATGGTACGTACACCAGCCCATCCTTGACGGGGGATGTTCCATACTCCCACTTTTTCAGGGGAGTAACTCCACTCAGAAAACCTGCAAGCTTTCCAGAAATACAGTCAGTTGGCAGTCTCTGTTAAACTCTTTGTTAATCGTATGGTTGCCTACTCCTGATGAGCTCAGGGTTAATGGACTGGCAGCTCTGAGGGGCAGTGGCTGTTGGGAACAATAGTCCAAGCCTTTGGAGCTTAAACTCAGCTTAACCCCCAAATTTCAGTGCTGCCTAAACTAACAAACAGTATCCTAATAAATGAAGAACTGAAAGACATTTTGAATACTTAGGAACAGATAGATACATGTTCATAATTACACAGTATCTGTAGACAACACAAGTATCGTGTACCCCATTTTGGTATCCATCCATAATCAGGAGGGACACGTAAACTGAAATGTTTCTGAGCAGACCTACACAGCATACCTCAAGGAGTGTGCACACAGCACGGTGTAGAACCAGAGACACCTGTGTCAGCTCTCAACAGGCGGGTGTGGGTGCTGGAATCAGTGTTCCTGTATCTATGCAGCACTCTACCAGCGGCACCCTGCTCAGGCAAATACCCTTGTTAAGGTACCACCTCATCATGCTTTAACACGGGAGCAAAGCTTTGATGATGCTCTCTGAAGAACAGCACACAAACAAATAATAATAATAAAAAAAGATGATTAACACATTAAATACATTGACATAGGGACCCTGATCGTAAACCATGTAGCATGAACTAATACTGCAAGTGAAAGCAAAAGGATGGTCCCTCCCTTGTAAATGTACCATTGAAGTACACAAGAAAAGAGAGGGATTTAGACATCTGACAGTATGACCCCTGGTGATTGGGGTTGTGTGATGGGCAATGGCCTCAGTGTGCTGGAAGCTTACCATCATCAAGGCTTTAGCAGGAGAGAAGGAGTGTTGACAATGGGTCAGTACTGAATAACCATTTATTTTGAAAATGACAGGAGGCTCCCCTAGCTGAAGCAGGCACAGAAGGAGGCCTAAAGATGCTGCTGCTTTGAAAACACAAGGCAAGAGGGTAAGTTTAGGCTACAGCAAACTGATGTAAACTGTGAAGGGCTTTGGAAGTAAAAGCAGGCAGGTAAAAGCATCTCAGGATGACAGAAGAGAGGAAGCCAGAGAACAGAGATGGGGAGGGGCCTCACTTAATGGTGAGGGGAATTCACTCCTGGAACTGACAGCTGACGTGGATTTTTCCTTTGCTTAAGATTCTGCAAGCCAGATTGGCTATTTGTTCTAATATACGTAGCTTTGAGGAACATGCATTTTACTAATACCAAACATGCAGTTCAGAGATGCACAGGCTGCAGCTCACAAATTGAGCTGCCAGATCAGTGAATCTGCATCACTTGTGCCGCCATGTTCATCACAGTGGCCTGCAGACGTGGCCGCAGAGCACTCAGGAGGAGTCATCCTGATGCAAGGCAGCCTACGCTCTGCGTCTCCTTTTCCCTGCAGAACCTCCAACTGCCCCTTTCATATCACTGTGAGATTTTCCGAGTGCCAAAATATACGCTCCCCCAGCCACAATACGGGTACGCTTCTGATCCTGCACACATGCATGAGCCTGCAGGTGACGGCTGCTGGCAAGTCCCGGTGTGCTACCGGACATCACAGAATCATAGAATCATTTAGGTTGGAAAAGACCTTTAAGATCATTGAGTCCAACTGTTAACCTAACCCTGCCATCCCACCACTAAATCATGGCCCTAAGCACCTTGTCTACCCACCTTTTAAATACCTCTAGGGATGGGGACTTGACCTCTTCCCTGGGCAGCTCCTTCCAATGCTTGACAACCCTTTCCATGAAGAAATTTTTCCAACCTAAACCTCCCCTGGCACAGCTTGAGGCCATTTCCCGAGGGGAGGACAACTACCTCTGCCATGACAGGGCTAGCAAGTTTTCCCGGAGTACATGTCCGCTTGCCTGCTGGACACCCAGAGGTAAAGCTGTTAGCAATGGACAGGCTGGCAGTTTGGACATAGATCAGATCTACCTAGGCTGAAAGCTCAGGAACTGTCTTTAACTCAAATGGCAATAGCCTGCTGGCTTTACTGCATGTTACAAAGTCATTGTCAAAGACGGCTTTGTACAGTCCATTCCTTGCTTGCCCTGTCTTCTCTTCCCACCCCACCCCCCTTCCCAAGAAACTCACTTATTGCAAAGCATTCAAGCAGGAAAGCAAGTTCTGTGGTGGATGAGGTTTTAGTCATCGCCTTTTAGAAGCACGGGCTGCTGGTTTTGCTCAATTTCTGTCATATACACAATGTTAAAAAGGCAGCGCAGGCAAAAAAAAACAAACAACCCACCCCACCCTAAAAAAAAAAAAGAAAAGCTAGGACAACTGACCACACATCATACTTTTGGATTTTGAATTTAGTTCTTAAATTTATAAATCTTGCAGGTATAATCCTGCCTCTGAAGCACTGAAGATCCAAATAATGTTTTGAAAATGCTTCACTTCCTCTCTTTCAGCTTGTGATGGAGGAGATGAGATATGAAAGTTCAGAGGAGACAGCAGAACATTACATGTTTTGAAAAACCTGTCTTTTTTAACTTAAACTTTTGCTTTGCTGGAAAACAGCAGTGGTTGATTTAACAGTAACATTGTAGATCCAAATTTACCAATTTTTAATGTGTTCAGAAAGACAAGCGTAACTTTGCAGGGTCAACGGTCTACATTTATTACCAGTTTTTGTAAATAATTTGTTTAACTTCGATAATAAAACTAGGACTAGGGGAAAACTGTGGTCTTGCAGGGCAGTGGCAGTCTTCACTGCCATCAGACCCAAATCATCTGCCTGACTCAGTGACACTATGGAGGCTTCAGCTCCCAAAACCATTTCCAGTAAATCCACATGTGAAAATATATCATTCGGGTCTCACAGTAAATCACAATTTTGTAATTTAACTCACGTCAACAGTAACAAACTATTTACTGTTTCTACACCAGTGAAATACACTGATGAGAACTAGAAACTGGGAACCCAAGTTTGGAACTTGTGTGTCAATTGTTATGCAGCGATCTTTTTATTAATATTTATCTTAAATTAAACAGATGGGACTGATGTTTTACACAAGTTCGAAAAAGGCTGTGGTCCAAGCATGCCTGTCTGCAGTTATTTTAAGCTACCAAACCCAATGTCAGCAGCTCAGCCAGCAAATCTGATTATATATTCCACGTACCAATTGGACTGTCAGAAAAGCAAAACAAGTCTTTTTATTTTCTATGGTCATTCTCACATGCTGACGTTACACACGTTTTATTTCAAAAAACTCGAGCCCTTCCAAGCCCCATTTTTTACTACTGCCTCACATTTCCCTGTAGAGAGGATGATACGTTCTGTAAAATCATCTTTAAATCAAGAAATCAGCACAGCCATTTTCCTGAATAATTCCTTTTGATAATCCTTGTAATTCCCTTGGTACTTGGTAAGTATTTTGCCGTTGATTTGGTTGGTAAGAAAAGGATGGTATTTGTATTACTGTGTTTTAATTGAGGGAAGAATTAACCAAAATCAAAATGCAAAAGAGAAGCTAGGGATTTCCATACTAAATACAGAAACACAGACAATTCTAGCTCTGTAATATGTCATTTTGCTGGTATGTTTACTGGAATGGATAACATTTCAAGTCTGACTCAGACTTGCCTCTCCCCCCAGATATATTTTGTCTTCCCAAACACTATGTGTAAGAATCCGGGGCATACTCTTCCAAATATCTGGTAAGTACACAAATTGTAATGCCTCAGAGAACATTAGGAAAAAAACGCCAAAATGCAGAAAGCTATGCAGTTTTACACATGTCCTATAAAAACAATACAGCGCAACAATAACAAACAGTACGGATTTCTACCTAATTAGGACAGTAATTTTTCTTAAACAGGATGCCTGCATGTGATGAAATGATACTTACACAGGGCTGATGGACCTGGTGACTACAGGAAATCAATATTCTTTTCAGTTCCCTTTGATGGCCTTTCCCAACACTGGTCCAACAAAACAAGTTCAATGATCCCCTCAGAATGCTACACAAGTTATACTGACAATTTAAGGGAATAAATCTATGGTGCAAATTTCTCTGTGAATTCTGCACCTGGAACAAGGCCCTAGGAAGTCAGCATCACCAAGCCTAATGTATTCTAAAGCACCTCTCATTATCCTTTAACACCAACACTGAAGTACCACAGCAACACACCAGCACCTCAGCAGTCACTGCATCCGATGACATCAGATTGCCAGTTGCTAACATCACAGCATCACCCATACTGACCTTATTAATTTCTGATGCCCCTGCTCCACACTGCACCTCCTGCTCCCTCCTGTTCCCAAAGGGGGGACAGCGATTCGATCCCATTCGCAGGAAGAGGGAGGTGCTGCCGATAATTTACGGAAACTTTCCTTTTCCTAGTCCATGAGCAATACTTCATGCCACAGAGACACCTTTTCTGGCAGTTCTATCATTAGGATATCATGTCAGGGGTGCCAAAAAAACCCAAATCAGGGTAGGGTTAATAAAAATTATTTACAATGTTTGAATCCTATCTGGGATTAGCAAAAACACTAGGTGAAAAAGAGAATTAAGTACAGATTTCCAAGCCTTCTGTTTATGGTCAACTTAAAGTACTGGTGATTTTTTTTTCCTCGTTAAGAAAATGGACAGAAATACCAATGACAAATTCTCCTTTGCATGGCAGGATTGCTGCCTGTGCTTAGCATACAGCTCAGATTACCCCCATATCCAAGCTTGCTCATTTATGGTTAAAGCCTAGATGTCATCAAACTACTCGGTACTACAACACTTCCTCTAAAATGCAGGACAAATTGCAATGAAGTGTTTTTACATCTTAAAAAGCCCTCTTTTTCCTTTAAAAAATATTTATTTCCACATATTTACAAAACATCTTTTGTTGACATTCTGCAAACAATACTATCCAATAAGGTGCCAATTTTTTCTTCCTGCGGAGTAACTTTGTACATCTGCAGAAAAAAAAGAACAAGAAAAACGTAAAAGCTGTATAAGGGGAAAAAAAAAAAAAATCGATCACATCTGCTAAAAATATATACATGACATGAAAAGATTTCCCCGTCTCCCCTACTTTTTACTTTAGAAATTCCTCTCTTGTCTTGCCTGTAAGACAAAATTGGGACTGAGGAACTAAGCAAATTCTGAAACTGCAAGAGCAAACAAAAGCTAAGAAACTGAATGAGAGCAGCACTTTTAGCTCTACATGGTATCACTATTTGCCCAATTTTATTCATATGTCTCCCACTGTTACTTTGACGGACATGATCAAGATGCCTGAATTTTATCAAATGGAACACATATGCTTCAGGATACCTACCTAGCATATAGTGATCTGTTAAGAGCACACATGCCCTAACACAGCTCCCGGTAGCTAATCAACACATTTTTGGTTTAGCCGCCCATGCTGGGACCATTTAGGTGCTTAAGATTATGAAACTGTTCAGGACTGAAAATTTATTTTTAATTAAATGGAATTATTTGCCTGAGAAAACAGGAAGTAAAAGTGCCTGAATGGTAGGAAGCAATCTGGAATTTATTTTTATGTTCCAAGTTCCTGACAATGTTAAGAATTTGATGACTTAAAAATTTGTGATGTCAGGGTGTGACAACAGGAACTTCTTTTGAGTAAAAAAAATTATTAGAAATAATCTAGCTTCACTTAAAACAAATTTCCAGTTGTGCTAAGGAAATACAAACCCTAAGTTAATTATGTCCATTGATATTTAATCAGACAATTAAATAAATTATCCCTTTTCTTTATGCCAGTCATCTCTTTTGGTTGCATACCTTTTTAACTTTGGCGGTGTCTGTTAGTTGGGGGAGTTCATCCAGAGACACCTGCTGGCCTTCTACCTGAGATGCTATATCTTCCAGATTTACCGTTTTCTCTTTGTCCACAACCAGAACAATGAGCACTGCTGTGTCACTGTCTGAAATGCCGAACTTTTTAAATGCATCTGAAATCTAAGAAAACATGAAAAATATCAAAATGTTATGAGTCACTTTCTCACTATATATAAGTAACCTTTGCAGTTAATGGGTCAAATAAACCAAGAGTATAAACTGACACGCATTTCACTTTAATGGAATTCTGACGAGCTACAAGAGATAACAGCATATTAGTGTTATTAAAAATATCAGTAACTTCTATTAGTAGCCAGGTAAACAGTTAAGTGAATACCTATGTTTAGTTTGGCTGCATGGATCTTAACAAGTTTCTCTGGCAAAAAAAGACATTTGTTAGTAAATCTTACATTGTTGTTCGGTGAGAGGCTGAAAATAATTTCTGCATAGAGTGTTCTGGTCTTCATTTTACCTATCTTGTGTAGATGAAGTGCTTTGTTGGCTGCCACAAAAATTTGAAAAGGATCTACAATCTGTAAAACACAACAGAAGAAGTTAAACAGAAATTGGACATGCTATTTTGAACGCTGAAAAAATCCTGACCGCTTAATTTTGATGGCCTAAGTCTGCAATCATAGATGTCAGCAATACAGTATCCTGCAAGTTATTTTAGCAATCCTTGCTCTTCCAAAGCTAAGGTGGTTATTTACTGAGTGGGGTAATACTTGACATAAAAATAAAGATTACACTCTCTCAATCAGGTTACCAAAATCTGTTGACAAAAGAACCACGTTAATAAATCTTCTGTCAGTAAACTGCCAGATTATTTCTTTTTTTTTCCCCCTTCCCTAACTACTGCTTTGCTAATTTTAACAAAAAAAAGATGAGATTCAGAAACTAGCTATGGGTTTAAATGAGAAAAGAGGTTCCAGGCCGTGGTAACTATGTAAGTATGTAAGCGATGACCAGGTTGGATGGGGCTCTGAGCAACTTGATCTAGTTGGCGGTGTCCCTGCTCACTGCAGGGGGGCTGGACCAGATCACCTCGAGGGGTCCCTTCCAACCCAAAACGTTCTAGGATTCTATGATTAAACCATGAGTACATTTTACAGATGGAGGTAGGTTTCAATGGCTCCACCGAATAGGTTGCGAAGCGAATCAAGGCAACTGTTTTGGCCAGTCCTGCCAAGGCTCGCTCGCTTGCACAGAGGAACCCTCACGCCTGCACCACACTCACGAAACCCACTCGCGTGGCAGGGATTGCCACCGCCCCTCGTTTCTCCCGCGGGTCCTGCAGGGGAGGCTCTCCGGACAACGCCGGCGTTCACTCACCATCGCAGGGTTTATTAATGCTCCTTCCATGGATCCTTCCATGGCTTTTTTCCTCAGGGCGGCGGCGTTTTTCACGTGGTTGAAGAGGAGGAGGGTGACGCTGCGCCCGGGGAACAGCTCCAGCGGGTGGGTGAGCGCCATCCCC